TAAAATTAACAAAATTTCAAAAAATGCAACATTAATGTATCATCTATCGAATAAAGAAAAGGTAAACGTTTACCTCGGCAGATCTCGGAGATACCGCGTTTCTAAGGATTTTATAGCTTTCTAAGGAAATAGGATTCACACTTAATTACAGGAGATGACAATTTTCAAACCTTACTTGACATTTATCATAAAACGTATAAGGTTCTACAGTCAGGATGTTTCCCTTTACGTAAATGGACTTTCAATCGTGACGTCACGCATGATGAGTCCAAAGGGCATTTCATCGGCGAGCACACACAGAACAAAACACTCGGTTTGGGATGGGATGACGCGAGCGATGAATTGTATTTCACTACAAAAATACAAAAGTTGTCAAACGCGCCCCGATTAAATAAACGAATTATGTTGTCCATTATTTCACATTTTACGATCCTCTAGGCTTACTCTCACCGGCGGTTATTATTTCAAAAATATTCCTTCAAAAACTGTGGTTAAGTAAAATCGATTGAGACACTCCTGTGTCGAGAGACATCGCACTGATATGGCGCAATTTCATAAATGCTCTGAACTGCTTAAACGATTTACGAATTCCGCGCCATGTTAGGAGCGATCATACGGAACTTCATATATTTTCCGATGCATGCCTACGGCGCGTGCGCATATGTACGAACATACGGGGAAGGTTCAGCAGTATCCGTAAAATTATTGTGTGGCAAAAGCAAAGTTGCACCCTTGAATTCGCTTACTATTCCTCGCCTTGAACTTCGCTCGTGGGTGCTCGACTTTATAAGAAAATAACCGAATCTTTAAGGTTAGTGTTCACAAACGTTTACTTCTGGACTGATTCGACAATAGTCATGGGTTGGACATGTATGTCACCTCATTTATTAAAACCGTTCGTTCAGAATCGAGTAACCGACATAAACGAACTCGCACGTAACGCAACTTGGTTACACGTAAGTAGTGAAAAGAACCGGGCGGACTTGTTGTCAAGAGGTCTAGGTCTTGATAAATTAATTGATTGTAATGTATGGTGGACCGGACCATCATTTTTACACGACCCTAAATCGAACTTTATCTGTGATAATTTCGGTTTGAATAAGGAGTTCGATAATTTACCTGAGTTCCCGGACGTATACGATTACTTACTTACTTAAAAATGTGCCTATTCAGTCAAAACATAAGCTATATAATCGAATTTCCGGTCTTAACGTGTTTTTAGACGAACATAAATTAGAGTCGGTGGTAGACCGTGCAACTCAACTAGTTTCGACTATAATAAAAAACATCCGAAGTTGTGCAGTAAAAACAAGTTCACGGTGTTGTTATTTAATTATGAACACAAGCGGCTACTTCATGCAGGTCCGCAACTCCTCTTACCTACTACGCGTGAATGTTGGTGGCCGCTAGAACGCAGCGCGGAACTTGCAAGGAAAACTGTGCGACAATGTGTTACATGCACTCGACTAAAAGGTAAAACTCTTAATCCTATTATGGGTAATCATGTAGTTGAACGGTTGGAACATGGTTTTCCTTTTATTCGAACAGCTGTTGATCACTGCGGGCCAATGTTCATCTTAAATCGAAGGGGCAGAGGAGCTCAACTTGTTAAATCATGTTTGTTTCTTCATATGTATGATCACACGCGCAGCCCACTTAGAAGTGGTTACGAGTCTTTCCACTGATGATTATCTTTTGACATTAAAACGTTTTATTAGTAGAAGGAGTAAACCTCACGTAATCTTTTCCGATAATGGTAAAAACTTTGTGGGAGAAGAAAAAGAGCTTTCCATGGTAAAAATAAATCGCAGGAAATAATCGATTCTGCTGCTAATGAGAGCATCAAATTCAGCATTCCGCCATATTCACCTCATTTTGCCGGGTTTTGGGATGCTGGAATAAAATCGTGTAAATACCACCTTAGACGAGTAGTAAGTAGGCAATGCGAGGGTAACGTACGAGGAGTTTAGCACGGTTTTAACACAAATCGAAGCCGTCCTAAATTCCCGTCCCATGTCACCTATGTCCACAGATCTCAATGACTTCTCTCCACTTACACCTGCACATTTCCTAATTGGCCGACCGTTGACGAGCCCTGCAAGTGACGACCTGACGGACGAGCAGCCTTCCCGCCTGTCACGCTACGCCAGGATCGAATTACTGCGCCAGCACTTTTGGCAACGTTAGGCTAAAGAATACATTGCAGAACTACAGATTAGAACGAAATGGAAGACGAAGAAAATCGACATTACATTAGACAGCCTCGTCCTAATTAAAGAGGATAACCTGCCTCCACTCAATTGGCGGTTAGGCCGTGTTACACGTGTATTTCCAGTTCAAGACGGCGTATCCCGTGTCGCGGATATCCGCACAGCAACGGGGACTATTCGACGTGCCTTTTCGAAGATCTGCCCGCTCCTGTCAGAGCCCGCAGTCGACGAGCGAAGACTTGAGAGCTGGTGCTCCCAACAGAACATTACGCCAACAACCCTGCTCGAATTTGAATACTTATTCACTCGCTATACGATCGTCCGTCAGACAATACATAAGTACATTCATTTTTTTTATAATTATTTTCAAAGTTCGAACATAAACCGTTATACGAGTTTCAAATAAACGTCTTCATTGAATAGACCCTGGAAAACCACCGAATCCTGCGCATGTAGTTTTTAAACTTAGGAAATGATAATCTTAATATTATATGCTCCGGAATATTATTGTAAAAACGTATCCAGTTCCCCATAAAAGAGTCGTTTACCTTGGTTAAACGAAATCGTAGTACCATGAGTTTGGACTTAGCATTTTTGTATAATACTTATTCCAAAAATAATTTTGAAATATAGGTCACCCATCTCAAAAAAATCAGCTGTTAATTCCATGAGATGTCTGCGGCGTGATGTGTGTCTAAATTTTTTAAATTCAGAACGCTTGAAATTTTGATGAAAGCAAAAATTTTAGAGACAATTCCTATAAATTTTCAATATAAATGAAAAAACGGAGAACTTTGAAGGAAGTATTCTCCAAAACCATTGAAATTGGTACACGAGTGTTTTCGTGTTTGGACTATAAAAACGCATCACTTGCTAAACTTCACTTGAAATGTCCAATCTGACAGAAAATTTGGATTTTCGAACACTGGGCTTCAGTGAAATCTAAAACAGTTATTGTTTTGAAAAATAGCAAAAAGCTGACTCTCTGAATAGAGCTGCACAAATTACTTCTAAAAAAATCATTGTAAGACCCAATGATTTTAAAGAGTTTTGAAAACTTTACTTCGTACTTTTTTTTATTGAATATATTATGTATGGGACAATATTACATGAATCAAGGAATAAACGTATATAAATCGAGTACACGTGTTTTATTTTCCTTGTAGGCTATTGTTCTATAAATTGAATTCTTCATTTACCTACTCTACCTTTAACAACAATGCATAATAAAACGTACTTACCTAACGTGACACTAGTTGATTTATTTTGTTTTTTTTAATAGAATGATAGGCCACTGTAAGATTACCGGTATGATCTGACGTCCCTCTTAAAACAAAATGTAGTCTGCCCACTCTATGTAGGTACGTTGTTTGGTATCAAATACTATTTCACAGAGAGTAAAAACTGAAATAATAATGGAGAGCCAATTCTAGGTCCTCACCGATAGACGCACATTCTAGTTAATGAGCATTCAGTTATAACTAGTAACTGAACTACGCATATAGGTAATGACATTTTCGCAACATTTAGTAATTACCTACTCGTCAAAAAACTAAGTACTGATAAGACGTTTCACCGATGCAATTCAATTCACTGGTGTTTAAAAGGTCAATATCAACCTGCTTGGACAATGCATTAACGCTATTACTCTGACGCAAGAGACGAACATTCCGTCGAAAACTCGAAGAGGCCAGGGGTACAAACAAAAGTGAATCAAACCTAAGCGATTTTGTAGGGGCTCTAAGAGAAATCTTGCACACAAGTCCACGGCACCAGAAGCAATTTTTCGTAGTTTCGAAGTTTTTTGACTCGTACCGCTGCCTAGTTCGAAAACAAAAAAGAAATAATAAATCTTCTTTGCACATTTTCAATTCGCGATATGTAGGTGAGGCTACGGACAAATGAGCAATTTAAAATGTTTAGTGTCTTAGCCTGTCTGAAATCTCTGGAGTTAGGTACGCATCGCAAACCCGAGAGCTTTGGAGCCTTTTGAAATAATAGCGTCGACATGCGAAGCAAAAACCAATTTTAACTTAACACATCTATTTGAAAACATAAATTAATTTTTGCACAAATACTGTCCTCAAATACTGTACTTACGTATCTTTTTGTTATTATGCTGCAAGGTATTTACGCTCACAGATAAGTATATTGTGTTGTACATACTGAAACGCACAGAGAACCATGGAGCTGTGTTGTAGGTAAGTCGTATTATTTTATGGGAAGAAAATTATTATTTTTCGTATTTATTATTACTTATTGAAGAAAGCGGTCCTTTAAATCTAAGCGGAGCCTTTTGAACGGAGCTTCCTTTTTAATTCTTTACAATTTACAAATCTAGGCTTAGTTTGAGATCAAACTCCCACTGTAACCTGCTCAGTTCTTCCTCGAGTTCTGCAACCCTCTCGTCAGTTATAAGTCGCCAGGACCAGTTGTCGTTGGTTATCAAATCAAATTATTTATTTTGGGACTAATTAATACATAACACACATTCTGTAATTTGTACATTAATTTTATAATTTGTATACGAATTTAAATCAAATACGTTAATTTATAAATTTAATTGACAATAAAAATTAAATACTTATACCTATTAATTATAAAATTGTAATTAAAATAAATAATTTAAATATTAACAAAATAAGTCTCATTGTCGTCAAAAGTTACACAATTACAATTTGAAACAAAATTAATAATAATAATAACATAACTACGCGCACACACCACAGCCCCGCACTAGGGAAACCTATATCGCGGGTGCTATGGACACACACAGACAACCATAAATTACACCCAAACTCACGAGCGAAATAAATGTAGTTCATACAAATATTTCTCCCGGCCCGGGAATCGAACGCGAGACTTCTTGCGTGGCAGTCCAGCATGGTAACCGATCGCCCACGAAGGTAGTTAGATAATTACGTTAGGAGGGATTACAATTAGACGTAGGTAAAACTTATAAAAGTGATCATTTACTAATATATAAAATAAAAATTTTAAAATTAGGATTTAAGGGCGCTTCTTCCTCACCGCGAGCATTCGCCTGTAATGTAACAATCCAAGACTCGATTTTGGAGCATTACATTACAATACTGCTTCCCTGACCGCATCCCGGAATGCTCAATGCCGGTTGGCGACAGGAGGGGAGAACCAGGCGGCCATCTCCCCTGGGGGTTGAGGCGTCTCCACGGTCTCCAAACCGATTGTACCCTCTTGTGGCAGTGTGAGCTTTGCTGCTTGGTTGAACACGACGCAGTGTCTCGTTCAACTGCCTTCCTCCTGTCTATTCACTTCCCTAAAACAATGAAATGAAAAACATAAACGGTAGTAAGTTTACACAGCGGTTTTTTTAAATAAAAATAAGTGCGCATTTGACCTCCATCACACCTGATGGAAAGTGACGATGAGGTCGAGGATGTAGCATGCACGCCTAAATAATGCCTATTCACTCTCGCCTTGAAAAGGTCCAAGATTCCACTCCCGTGTGAGTCCGGGGAATATCCACAACATAGGGGTGGAACCCCCGCCCACGTCTATAGTCTCCCGATGATGGAAAGGGGAAGGCGGAATCAAATTATGCAATTCCATCGCACACTCTCCTTGGTATATCCTGTAGAATACCGATAAGCTGGCAACTCTTCGGCGGTGTTCAAGGCTCTGCAGTTTCGCCTCTGCTTCAGCTCAGTTCCGAGTCACCTATAAGCCTCTTAGCACGCCTGTCTATTGAATCCAAGGTGGCCAGTTGGTATTTAGCAGAGCCATCCCATAAGTGGCAGCAGCACTCCATACACGACCGGACTTGTTCTTGGTACAGCTGAAGCAACTGTCCCGGTGTGAAGTATCGCCTCACCTGGGAAAGGATGCCAACTTCTTGGCTGCATTTTTGGTTATGGATTGACAGATGATGAACTAACAGATCATAATTTTATAGTTATGTGTATATATAGAGTTCCCAAAAATGAATCATAATGTTTTGAAATATTTTACAGATACAGATATAACAATCTGCATGATATACTGACCGAAGTATGCTACCAAACAAGGAAAAAGATCATTATATGTGGCGATTTTAATATAAACTCCCTAGAGAACTCCAAATTATCAATAGAATTTAAAAACACGATAAAGGGTTTTCATTTGAAATTAGCATTAAATGAACCTACCCAAGTAGTGGTACGTGTATTGACAATGTTAGACATAATATTGATGGGTGTGAGGTGAAAGTAATCGAGCTTGCATTGTCACAATGACACACATCACAATTTGCTAGATGCCCTGTAGAAAATTTCATTAAACTAAAGTATTGGTACACATTTAAACGAGATTATTCACTAGAAAATATGGTAAAATTTAGAGAATATCTGTTGACGATTCAAGAACAGCTTGTAATTGGAATGACGCGTTTAATGCTTTCTATTTACATTTTCAACTTTTTTTACCCATTACGTTTTCCTGTAATAAAAGTCAGAAATTGTGCTAAAGAAAAACCAAGATGGCTGTCACGTGGAATAAGATTGTGCTGTAAAAAGAAAAGGGAGATGTTGTGGAAATACAGAAAAACAAAGAGCAAGGAGAACAAAACTGCTTATAAAATCTTTTCTACAAAACTAAAAAGGATAATCCAACTGATAAAAAGTCTCAAAATAATTATTATATTTCCAAAGCTACAAATAGATGCAAAGCTATGTGGAAAATAAATAATAGTAAGCCAAAAATACCACATAACACTATATCAGCTCTAAAAATTAGTAACAAATTGTAAAATAATAGCTCAAAAATTTAATAATTACTTTATAGAAGAAGTTCAATCACATTGCAGTGTAAAAAGTAAAAATACACGTAATTATTCTACTTGTAAGTCATTTTTTATGAAACCTACAGTCCCTCAAGACGTATATATAATACGCAATTTAAAAAATACGAACAGTACAGGATACGATGACATACGCACAATTACAACAAACTATTTATGATAATTTGTTATTTTATTATGAAAACTAACACGGTTATCACACATTATAATATAAAAGTAACGGGACTTACTCGCATAGTATTTTAGTCGGAAGCGGTCCGACTAGTTTCGACCATAATCGATGGTCTTCTTCAGGGTCTTCTTGAGTGCAACGTTTGCGACCGCGTCACGTCTAGCACTGCGCGCGCGCCGATGACGCAGTCCGCAGTGGGAAAATCGGGAGGCTGATACGTTGCGTCAGCGCGTCCTGGAACTCTTCTTCGCTACTGCTGTCCGTAGGATTGTTGTCGGGAACAGTCCAGCACACAGAGCTCACCATGTCGTTACCACTAACATCTGCAGCTGCATACCGAGCGCCATGAAGACACGGCTTCCAGGTCGGTGGCAAGCTCCAGCCTCCGTCTCTATTAAAATTTGGTCGCCTACTTATTTCAATACCCTCTCGGATTTTGCGGGGCATAAAATACTTCTCCCGCGCTAAAACCTTAGCTTTATCAAACCGAATGTAGTGACCAGCACCGGAGCTCAGAAAGTGGTCTGCCACCGCAGATCCATTGACATATTGGTTCTTCATGGATCGGATATGCTCAGCTAGCCTAGTAGCCACGTTCCGTCTCACTTGCCGCAGTCACAGGGAACCACATATACACCGGGGACCTCCAGAGGGTCTCTGTACTTTGGAGAGCGTAGCAATTGTCGCAGCTGTGTGAGAGGACGGAATATTGTCTTGATGCTGTACCTTCGGCGTGACAACTAAACGGAGTAAAACCGATAGCGACCCGTCTCGGACCTGTCGTCCAATCTGAAATTCGGCAGCTACATTGAATCCATGGCCAAAAGTACAGGCAGTAAGCTTGGCATCCTTTCCAGGGTGAAGCGTCACTTCACACCGGGACAGTTGCTTCAGCTGTATCAAGCAATCCGGTCGCGTATGGAGTACTGCTGCCACTTTTGGGATGGCTCTGCTACATACCAACTGACCACCTTGGATTCAATTGACAAGCGTGGCAAGAGGCTTATAGGTGACTTGGAATTAGTAGAGGCGAAGAAGCTGGAGAGCCTTGAACGCCGCCGTAAAGTTTCCTGCTTATCGATATTTTACAGGATATATCACAGCGAGTGTGTGATTAAATTACACGATTTAATTCCGCCTTACCCTTTCCATCATCGGGGTACTAGGCGTAGACTTGGATTCCACCCCTATGTTGTGGATATTCCAAAGATTCGCACGAAGCGTTACGCTTCCACATTTATATGGCGAACGGCTATGGAGTGGAATTCCCTGCCTGTAGACTTGTTCCCCGAACGTTATAACTTGGACCTTTTCAAGGCGAGAGTGAATAGGTATTATTTAGGTGTGCATGCTCCATCGTCGACCTCATCGTCACTTTCCATAAGGTGAGATGGAGGTCAAATGCACACTTACATTAGAATTAAAAAAAATTACCGACACTATACCTACAGCAACTGCTATTATCATTTTAATGCTACCGTGTACTGTGGTTATATGTTCATGAAATTCCTCACATGGCAAGAATAATACTTTTTTATAATTGTTGGTATTGAATATAGATTGTAGCAAGTATTAAAAAAAGAAACGTATGAGCTAACGGAGTCAAATAAAAATTATTTATCGCGTCTATTTTTCAGGATTTCTTTGATTTATGGTTGAATATGCAATAAATATATTGAGTATTGAGTATGTCTACTCCTTAGAGCTTGTCAACCTTCAAAAAGTGAAGTGAAATATTTTTTTTTTTTTCGATTTAAGAAATATTTTATTTCTCATAAGAATTATAACAAAATTCACTTACATGAGAAATTTCATATTCAAGTTTTTTTATTTTTATTTTTATTTACATTTTGTATAATTTAGTCAATTCATATCATGGAATAATAACTATTTATATCATTGCACATAATGCAGTACATATATGAGTTTGTACATGGTTTGTTCTATAGCGTGTGTAGTGCTTTGTTGTTGAAAATCTAATATTCCGAAACATTTTGTACGTTGCGTTGGTGATAATTAGATAAGTACCTATATAGTACAGATATGTCGATACGCGCAATACAACGGTAATAATATACAATTATTTTTACATTGACAATCGTGTCTTGAATAATGCTAGTGTTATAGGTACACGTACGTCTAAAACCAGACATTGGTGGTCGTTCTATGGCAGCGAGGGCAAAAGCAGCGGCTCTGGTGTCGCGCGCGCTGCGCCTGCGGTTCTCCGCATGTCTCGGCGGCTCAATCCTGCTCCTGACGTTTCTGCACTTCTTCTTTTGCGGATCTTACAACTATCCACATATCCCACGTGCCTTTGTGCTAGACGACTTATATAAGAAGGTGAATCCTCAACTAGAGCTGTCCAAGTCAAAGCCACAGTGTGACTACAGCCGCGTGTTGGCGAGCCGGAAGAGCATCAACAGCTGGGAGGTGTCTACGTTTCAAAACTATAACGACCTGCCCCTAGACGGGTTAGTGAACGGTAGTTTCGCCCCAGCGCAGTGCAACCCGCTCGTGAGCGTGGCGGTCATTGTCGCGCATCGCAGTCGCGAGGAGCAGCGCAACATCTTCTTGCCTTACATGCACAATTTTTTGCGTAAGCAAAACATTCATTACAAGTAAGTAAACCAACTTTGAAACAACAGTTAGCCTGTATATAGTCGTTCTGTTACTGTACTGTACGTTTGTTAATTCACACACGTAACTCTGATTTGACACAACTTTGCATTTTTCCACACTTTCTATTAATGAGTCAAACATCCTGTCATTCGTTATTGCCAAGTACTGGTTACTAGGAGCGATAAGTACAAAGGTATCAGGTTGCGAGACATCATAGGCGGCTGGTATATAAATAGTATGACATAAATCATATATCTGTGGAATAAGTAACGGGATTTTGAGAACTACAACTAATTTAGTGATATAATAAAAGGAAAGAATATCAGATATCTCAATTAAATCGTGAACATTATTTGTAGTTAGAGTTATGGGCAATTCGCAGTGTTTAGGTAAGAAGTGTTTGTTTTGCTCTAGTTCCGACAAAACTTGCTACGGGCTGAGTACAGTCGGATGCAATATGTTAACTTTGTTAAATTAAATTATGTTATTGATATCATCGATATCGAAGGAGAGAGACATTACGATGCTGTCGATTTAATTAAGTAATAAGTTCAGTTTGGCTTTAATTTCTATCTTATCGTTGCTATTCATTAGGTAGCCCAGACTTTAATTAAGTATTTTTAAATTATTATTGAAGAGTTTTTCATTATAATTAAGCTTACTAATGGTAGAATTGAAATTCGTAATAGTGGACTTAAGAATATGAATGTTATCTTTCATAAGCTTTCCGAGTGTCTTTTCGCCTGACTGTACCTGATTGATAGCACTTGTAAATTTCATATCGTCATCGGAATCTAAGGTTCCGAAGAACGTTTTTAACAAGTTGCCACCTGCGTCTATTAGGCCGCGTTTCACCAGACTCGTTTTCGAGTTAAAAATTAGGTAGGTACGAAATAGATGAAAACTTCTTGAGATTAGTTGAATGTTGGCTTCGTAACGAAACGAACGCGTTGATACAGTCTTGCTGTATTTTGAAAGGACTATGACTGTTGCAGAAGGTTTCAAGTTTAATAAATAATATTTCGAGTTTGTCTTGGATATGACCTGTGTCAAGAAAAGTAACGATATTCCATTTGTCATTCGTAAACTTAAGATCTCAGAGTTTATCGAAATACAATCCGGAACTGCCTTTAATTGATGTTACAAAGGAGCCAGGCGCTAAGCATATCAAGTTCCTGTAACAAAGACAAGAGATAGGTCTAATGTGCAGGTTTAACTTCATCGTAGTGGTGACGTATATGATTCCGATTTATTAACAGGGTAAGAGTGTGGTTTCCGTTTAGTTTTAATACTTTAAAAGGGCCTTTCCATATTGGGGACAACGCTTTATTTTTGTTTATTTGTGATGATATCGTACATAAACCATATCACCTACTCTATAGCTAATGGGTTTAGTGTGGGAATCGTAGTATTGTTTTGACTTTCGTTTAGATCTATTTATGTTTTGTAGAGCTTTCTGTCTGCTATAGTATAGACGATGATTTAGGGCCCGGATATAGTCGGTGTAAGTATTATTTTCCAGGTTATCGACGCTGTGAGGGATATGGGGTTTATATTCGAATAACGGAAGTTCGAAAGGTGAGTAACCTGTGGTACTGTGAACATTAGAGTTATAGGCGAACATAGCGGTATTGACATACAAGTCCCAGGTGAAGTTATTCTCTTCCACGTAAGACCTTAACTACTCCTTAAGGGTGGAATGGCTCCTTTGAAGGGCGCCACAAGTCTGAGGATGGTGTGGGGAAGCGAAGTTATTTTTTATTCCAAAGAGTCTTTCCAGCTGTTTGAAGACATCAGAACAAAAGTCAGTTCCCTGGTCAGTGACAATGACTTTTGGGATTCCTGTATGAGAAATAAAGTGAACGAGAAGTTGAGCGGTTTCTTCTGCGGAGCGTGATTGCATAGGGTATGCTTGGGAATATCTTGTGAGATCGTCCTGTAAGGTGAGAATGAATTTATACTTATTTATATTTGTTTCAGGAAGAGGGCCGACAAGGTCCAAAAATAGTTTTTCGTTTGGTCTAACAGCTGTAGATGTAATTATCATTGGGGATCGGTTTGTTTGGCGTAAAGGTTTGTTAACCTGACAGGACTTGCAATTCTTCACATAGTTTTCTATGTCTTGATGCATGTTTTTCCATCAGTACATAGATTTAAGTCTATTTAGCATGCGATTAGTTCCCGGATGACCGGCTGATCGTGAGTCATGATTGTCCCTTAGGATCTTTTGTACTTCGTTCGGAGTAGGAAATAGGATACTGTTGCGATATATGTTGACTTTGATACCGGTGTTATGAAATGTGTACGCGATCATATTATACATTTTTGTGTATGATAGCTTATTAAATGGGTCTTTAAAATCGGAAATGGCGAATTCCTTTTCGTCTTGGTACCAAAATTTTAACCATTGGTCTTTGTAATCCCGAAGCATGTTGAATTTGTTTTTATATGACATTTCGTCGTAATGATGGACTCTAAGGAAAAAGTGAGTGAAAATTTGTTTATCATTACTAGTGGAGTAAAACGTGTTCAGCTCTCTTTCGATGGTGCAAATATCAGGGCTGCTATTTGACAGTTGTATTATCTCGGATCAGTAAGGTACAGAATCATCTAAATCAATGGCTGACGGGTATACTATTAGTTTACATTTAGATCTAAGGAGGGATTCGTAGTGCTCTTTGATAACAGTGTCATATACTACATTGGTTTGTCGACTTGTTTGTAAATATTTGTCGTAGGTGTCTGACGTAGTCGGCTGGTCGGTACTTTCATCGATCGTCTGGATTGGGTTTCGAGACAATAAGTCGGCGTTGCAATTCATTTTTCCTTTTTTGTATTGTAGTGTAGTGTAGGTAATCGTAATCTTCGAGTTTTAACCTCCAGCGAATGAGTCGAGAACTGGGATCTTTGCAGTTAAATAACCACTAAAGAGGTTTGTGGTCTGTGACGATAGTGAGTTTATGGCCGTAAAGATATGGTCTAAATACTTTGTGCCGCAACAACAGTATGGCTAAACATTCTTTTTCGGTCGTGGAGTAATTTCCCTCGACCTTATTTAGAGTGTGGGAAGCAAAGGCGATTGGCAGATCTTTACCTATTTCGCCCTGAGAGATAATGGCAGATACAGCGTAATTTGAGGCGTCAGTGATTAGAATAAAAGGCTTTTGTGAAGTTAGGATATTGTAAGATCGGTGCGGTAGTAATTAGGTTTTTCAATGTTTCGAAGGCTTGTTGTTGGGGGTTGCCCCAGTGAAATTTTGTATCTTTTTTAGAAGGATAGTAAGTGGTTTAGATAAATGACAAAAATTGGGGATGAAACGCCTGTAACACCCTACAAGGCCTAGAAATTATTTTATATCTTTTGGGCAATTAGGTGTAGGCAATCTGGTTACGCATTCTATCTTTTTAGGGTCCGGTTTCACGCCCTTATCGGAAATGACATGTCCTAGGTACTGAACTTCTCTGTGGAGAAACTCGCACTTGTCCGGTGGGAGTTTGAGATTATGTTCTCGGAGTTTTGAAAATATCGATATGTGAATGAAGGTCGTGACTGAAAGCGACTACATCGTCCATGTAAGTAAAACAATGAAGACCCTGGAGACCGGATACGACAACATTTATTAACCTTTAAAAGGTTGAAGATGAGTTTTTTAAACTAAAAGGCATTCAATTGAACTCATAGTGCCCCGAAGGAACATGAAAGGCTGTTTTTTCAGCGTCGGTTTCAGTTTTCATTTCGATTTGGTGAAAGGAAGACGCTAGGTCAAGGGTAAAGAAGTATTTACTGTGGCCTAATTGGTCTAGCATGTCTGTGATTATTGGAATAGGGTAGGCGTCACCTATAGTGTTGTCGTTAAGGCGGCGATAGTCTATAACTAAACGCCACTTAGGTTTGCCTGAGGCGTCTACCTTTTTTGGAACTATGGAATATAGGTACCGACCACGGGGACTTAGAAGGACGAATTATTTTTTGGTCGAGGATATTTTTTATTTGGTGGTCCACTACTTCTTTGTGACGCTCGGGGTAGCGGTAACTTTTCACGTGGATAGGGTTTTCAGAAGTCGTTCGGATTTCGTGACATAAAGTTTTAGTACTTGTGAGGTGGTCTCCTTCTAGGAAAAAGATGTCTTGGAACTGATTACAGAGATTTCGGAGTAGTGATACTTCCTCATCATTTAAATATTCGCATCTAATGGCATTTTGTACTCTAGTTTCACGGTTTAATTGGCCACGAGTGTGGTCGAAATTAGTATTAACATATTTGTAGAGTTCAGTTGACTCAGAGGGATCTACTTCCTTTTCTAAAATGAACGAGACTGGCTCTATGATGAACTTAACGTCAGTCAGCGTTACTTCGTTGTCGGAACTATTTAAAACTGACACATTGATATTATTGTTTGATTTTACTTGGACTAGACATTTGGAAAAAAACAATTTTGGATAATTTTCTAATTTAGTTTTTAAAATGATGCCTTCTTTTATCTCGGGATTAGTAACAGCACATTCAATGAGCATTTCGCATCTAGGGGGATGACAAAATTTAATTTAGGGGGTTTTAGTTCGAAGTATTCGTTAGGGTTATCATTAAGCGTAGCGCGTAGTCAGGAATATTGAGTTGAGGCTTTATGAGCTGAAAGAAAGTCTGATCCGAGTATTCCGTCATAGTCTAAATTTACGTCTTCTACTACGTGGAAATAGAAGGGAATTGAAGTATCATTCATTGTTTTTAAGACTAGAACGGACTTTCCTTGCGTCTCAGCATACGAATCTACGTCATTAATCCCTTTGAATTTTACAATGTGTTTTTCGAGCTAGCAAGGCTTGCATTTAGCAAGGCTAGATTTTTTAATGATGCGGATAACGCTTCCAGTGTCAATTAACAGACGAATTGGGTTGTCAGCGTGAGACACTTCGACCTCAATTTGCGGGAGAGGGGATTTAGAGCTTTGGGAGACTTCGAAAATGGTAGAATATGTTTAGGACTCAACTAGAAAATAATCGTTTAACTCGGTTTTGCCTGGGGTGGTTGGTAGTGTTGTTATGATTTAGAACGTCATTATCATCGGACTTGGAATTTATAGGTTTTTTGTTGAAAGCAGTGAATTTTTGGCTTAAGTTAGAAGAGCCAGCGGAGTGCGTTGCGTCTTGTTAGCATTAAGTTTGGGCAAATATTCTATGCGGCTAGTAGAGACGGCGGGATTGGCATTAGATCAGTGGGGCTGGCAGAGACAGTGAATTTAGTATTAGATACAGTGGATTTGGCACAAGATACAGAGGATTTAGTATTGGATGCGGTGGAGCTAGTAGGAATAGTGGATACAGTGGAACCAGTGACATTTCGATTTTGACAGTTTTTTAGCACTGCGAGTAAGTAAGTGACTTAGAATCGTTTGACTTTGCAAAAAAGGACTTAGTAACTGTGCCTTGCGCATCATGTTTCCGTCGGCACATATACGGGAAACGCTTACTTAGTTTTTTGCGTTCTCGCTGTCGTCTTCGTGGGAATCATCATCAGTCTCGTTACAATGTGTAACCGGAGCGTAGTTCAGGTACTTTTGTTGGTTGTATATGTTGACGATCTGGTGTTGCCGTTATTGTTGAAATTGTTGTCGGTTTCGACATTGGAAAATGTCGTGGCCAATATTTTTACAATATCGGCATACGATAGGTTGGGCAGCCGGGCCTCGTGAGGTAGATGGAAAGATAACAGGTTTAGTCGGCTTATTTTTGTGATAACATTCGGATTCTGTGTGTCCGCTTTTGTTACAAAATTTACAAGATTTAGAAGTAAAAGCTGCATTACTCTTCGACTATAAGTTTTGTATCTTTTCTTCTTCCATAGCGATATTTACAGCCCCGTTAAGGGTTTTGGGGCACTGAGACCGGACAAAAGTGCTAAGGGTCGGTTTTAACACTAAAGAAAAGGTGTATAGAGCCAGATCTTCCGCCGTGGCTAATCTACCCGGAAGGTTCTTTTTGAAGGAATTGGAGTTATGAATCTCAGACTGGAGGTCAAACACTTTTCAACTCTCAAGGAGTACTGGGCTACGGACTCACTTGATTGTTGTTTACATGATTGGAGTTGTAACAATAAGTGATTATAGTGTTTAGTTTCACCAAAGTCTTTGAAGTCATCAAAAACTCTATTTGAACAGACTATTTGTTCTTTGCCTTCTAAACGGGATATATAATGTATTTCAGTAAAAGGCTTTTTTGTATTGTTGTGGCCAGCTTTACGGCATTGTGACAGTTTATAAAAAACGCGGGGAGAGCATCACGCTCTCCTCTGTAATCGTTAATAAAACTGCATAATACGCTAATTGGGAATTCCGTCGTTTCTTTTGTATCAGGCATTTTGTATAGAGGTTTGTTTCAGGTCTCGAGAGAGGAGGAGAGAGAAGAAAGAAAAAGAGACAGTGCATATGTTTCTAAGCCCTAACGTCAGGAAACGTTTGGTGATTAAGGTAAGTAAGTACGGATAGTATACTGAATGGCAACAACAAAGTGATAAAATATTTTGACTTACAGGAGCACCAGCAGCTTCATATTATCAGGAACGGGACGTAGCAGCGGCGCGTTGGGCAGCATGGAGTCTTCGTAAGTAGTGGACGGATGTTGTCCGGGATACAGCGAGATATCTCAGGAGCACAGTATGAGTAGAACGGGATACAGCGAGATACAGGACACAGCGGCAGATCAGCGAAATTATATTTATTGCGCATCACACACTTGAACAGATGAACACAGGAGTCGCGCACTAAGTTTGTTTAGCGAGTCTGAACGAGGATGAGTTCTTTCGATTTTGACGCGACGTGTAACCACTTTGAGTTAGGCGGACGGTTGGACACAGCGAGTTTATTATTATATTTGTGCACACATTAAATAGTCAAAATTTTGCCTGAAGATCCCACTTCTGACATCACTATTACGAGGTGGGTCTCAGGACACTTTTTTTAAAAATAGTTTTTTTTGTTTACACAAATAATTTTAATTGAATAAAACGTTAGAAAATAGAAAAGCAAGTATCGAAAAGCAAGCAAATACGTATAGAAAAGCAAGGCGAAGCACTTGCTATGTCTTTAGACATTTCTAAAGCCTTTGACAGGGTCTGGCACGCAAGCCTTTTAAGTAAGCTTCCCTCTTATGGGCTTCCCACTAACCGTTGCAATTGGGTCTCAGATTTCTTGAGCGAACGTTCGATTCAAGTAGTCTTAGAATTTCCTCAGGGTTCCGTACTGTCTGCAACTCTCTTTCTGCTGAATATCAATGATATTTTAATTCCAGGCACTTTTGCGTATGCTGATTACAGCACAGCTGTAGATAGGTAATTTACCGATGCAAGGGTCAGTGGAGAGGAAATCCAGTCTTTTCGAGAGTCTATTTTTAGCAGTTTGGATTTGATTCAAGACAGTCTCCGATTGTGGCGATGCCAATCTTGTAAAATTTACGCTACCAAAACTCAAACGTGTCTATTCCAGTCTATTCTCCACAAAACGGAGTCCCTTTGAGCTGACTCCACCTTTTGGTGATGTATCCATACCGATAGCCGACCGTCTCCAGCTACTTGGAATGGACCTGTCGTCCAATTTGAACTTCGGCAGATACATTGAATCCATGGCCAAAAATGCAGCAAGGAAGCTTGGCATCCTTTCCAAAGTGAGGCTTTACTTTACACAGGGACAGTTGCTCCAGCTGTACCAAGCACAGGTCCGGACGCGCATAGAGTACTGCTGTCACCTTTGGGATGGCTCTGCTGTATACCAACTGGCCACCTTGGATTCAATTAACAACCGTGCCAAGAGATTTATAGGTGACTCAAGACTGGTGAAGGCGAAGCTGCAGAGCCTTGAACACCTACTTCTCAGTACTATACTCCTCAGTTAATCTACAGCAATAAAGCACAATTATGCCAATACTCACCTAGTTACTTTAGTCGCCGTTTATCGAAATTAATTTTTTGTTATAAGTGCGCGTTGACTTCCATCTCACCTGATGGAAAGTGACGATGAAGCATGCTCACCTAACTAATGCCTGTTCACTCTCGCCTCGAAAAAGCCCCTGAAATGTAGTAAGTAAATATCGCTTAAAATATAACTTCGATACCTATAACCATCTTCGCATGTAACTTGTCGTTTATAGAATATACATAGTCGAGCAAGAGGACGAGAAGCCGTTCAACAGGGCTTTGTTGCATAACATGGGCGCACTGCAGGCCATGGCCGACGGGTTCCCGTGCTTGGTGTTGCACGACGTGGATTTGCTGCCGCTTGACGCCGCCAACCTATACGCCTGCCTCAGCCAACCACGGCACATGAGCGCCAGGCTCGACAAGTTCCGCTTCGTGCTCACTTACGACACCCTGGTCGGCGGAGTGCTCGCCGTGCGCACCGACCACTACGATCAGCTCAACGGCTTCTCCAACCGTTTCGAGGGCTGGGGCGGCGAAGACGACGATTTCTATAATAAGATCAAAGATAACGGCCTACACGTACTCAGGTTACTACCTATATTTGACTTACTTCCTTGTTCGAACATATCGCGGATTAGTTACTTCGGAGTGAAGTTATCAGCATTCGTTAAACCTCCAAAAATATCTATCATAACTGTTGATGCGCCAGGTCCATTTATTACTCGTATAAGTATTACCTAGTTGTTAATTTTACCTAATTGTTATTCAAGCCTTTCAATTATCCGAATGAAAATATATCTATCTAGCTTTATATTTACAATGTTATCAAATGTGTAATTTTGTGAAGTTAATTTCAAATCAATCATATTGTAATTTATTGCGCATGACGCGGTACCTATTCAGTAAATACGTCTGCTGTATTCCTTGCCGAGTGTACGCTTTTACCGGGTCCAATGAAAATCACCGTCCCGTAGTACTTGAAGTACTTCCAACGCGACGACATTGAGACAATTCCTCACTAACACATCACATCACATACCACTCTATTGTGCTATTTTCGTTACATACAGTTTTTTTTTGTTCTATTAGTCGACTTACTCTATTAATAAGTCTCATGTCGTGTTAAATCATAAACCGAGTGAACATTTTCTCTTCCTTCTCGTTCAGATTGGAACCGGAACTGTCGCGCTACGCCATGCTCGCGCATGCTCCCGAGGCGCCGAACGCGGCGCGGGCCCGCGTGCTGAGCGAGAACCGGCGCCGGGCGGGCCTCGGCGGCCTAGGCGGCCTCGTGGGCCTCGGCGGTCTTGGCGGTCTCGGCGGCCTCCGCGGCCTCCGCCGACTCCGCGGCCTCGGCGGGCTCGGCGGCCCCGACGGCCTCGACGGCCCCGACGGCCTCGACGAGTTGCGGCGGCGCGCGCCCCCGCGCCTGCGCGCCTACCGCCTCTTCACGCTGGTGGGCGTTCGCTCGTAGGAGGGAAACGGCGTGGTGGACGGAATAAAAGAATATTCTTTTTAATACACCTTCGTTATATTTTTTATAAGTAGAGTTTGCTGCCAAAGTTACATAAATCGCGAAAAGTGCGCGACGGCGGGTGCGAGTTATAGTTTAATGGGCCGAGTCTTGATTGGAGCCGCAGACTCGACGTTTCCCTTGCTTCAGCAAGCCGCGAGAAGCGTTCTGTGTCTCTCGTGTTGATCTTCCTAGATATAGCTACATTTTTTGGTGTTGAAAATTTCATAACATCTCCCTTATTCGCTTGCGCGCAGTGCGATAAGCCGGACGTTGCTCTAAACCGTGCGTGTTCATTAATTCGGCTGAGATATTTACCCTCCATTTTTCTTAAAAAAATAACGCACACACTCAATAATAACGCACACACTCAACATAGCCCCGCACTAGGGAAACCCTGTGTCGCGGGTGCCATGGACACACAAATACACAACCACAAATTACACCCAAACTCACGAGAGAAATAAATGTAGGTCATACAAATATTTCGCCCGGCCCGGGAATCGAACCTGGGACCTCTGCGTGGCAGTCCGGCATGGTAACCGTTCGGCCACGGAGGCAGTTAAAAAAAAAGTTAAAAAAAAATTGCTAAGTGTGCTAAATGTTCAAAAGTTATAAACAAAAAGTCGCCTGGATTGCAATGTGGAAAGTGTGTTAAGTGGTTCCAACCAACGTGTGTGTCATTATCTATCGAACAACTAACCTCACTATCTTCAACCGACTCTGTTGACTGGCAATGCAACACCTGCAGAGGTGCGGCCAAATCAATGAGGAAAAATGAGGAAGGAGGAGGAAATACCAGATGAGGAAGATGACGATAACACGGAAGCAATTTCACCATCAGTTACCACTACGACGACGTAGCAAATGTTACACCAAATAAAAGTGGAGGTTCAAAATATTATAAAACCGAACTACAAAATAGATTAGGTGATTGCCCAAGTAGACACATTTTTACCTAGCCGCGTTAAGAGAGGCTTACTGAACCCTTTAGGTGCTATAATTAAAGAAATTACAGGTAACCTTGATCATAACGATTCCCTTCGATTTGAACAAGCCTTAAAATTTTGAATAAAAATGAAAAAAGCATTTCTGATGCCTTTACCAAACATATAACGTTGTTTAATGAAATGAACACACAGAACACCAGAGTTTTCATAAATCTAAAAAATAATCAAGAAAAGTTACAAAAAGCTCTTTCAAACGTCATTAACTTGACGGATTCAGTTAACGAGCGAAGTACCAGATATGCTCAACTTGCTCAATTTTTCATTGTTTTAGGTGAAAAAGTGCAAGATCTAGCTAGTGAACTATTTAGACTTGAAAATATTCTAGCTTTCAGCCGTACTAAGTCCATGCATCATTCTGTACTCTCAGTTAAACAGTTACAAAGTCTCATTGTTACTTTGAAAACGTATTATCAGTTTGGAGAAATAATTAATTTAGACATTAGAAATTGTTATGATATTATTCGTTTAGGTACTTACTTTGTTAACAAAAGAATAGTCATTGTTCTCCAATTTCCAATTATTTACATAAACTCTTTTGACTTATACAAACTAAATCCTATTCCTAATAACAATAACGAAATTATCCTGCCTACTTACCCTTTTATGGCATCCAACATGTACAACCACGCCTAGTTACTCTTTCAAAGGAAGCCTTGACAGAACTGGATAGCCAAAACTACACTATATCTTTTCCAAGACCAACCAATGTTCAGCTCCTATGTAGCCAAGAGAAACACCAACTACTTGAAAGAATCTTTCTCGCATACATCCTATTAACTGCAAAGTAAAGGCTCCAGAGTTCACCATAATAAATATTGAAGCACGATACGTTCACCCATTCAACTAATTAACATTCCATGACCAAAACTCACCGAGAAACACAACCTAGTGAACTTTAATTTGACCACCATCGAACTTCGAATTTACAAAATATTCAAAAGCAATTGACAATACACGATCCAATTACAGTAGAAACTGACAACGCTTCGATTATCATACGAAGATTCCTATGTAAACGATTGCACTATTGAGTACGTTTGCACTGGTCGCTACCTATTAATTCATACGCCGCAGAATGGCTCACAAATTAGAAAATCGTAACTCCGCGTCGAAATGCGAGTCATTTACACAAGCTGACATCGATATAGAAAAACGCAGAGCACATTTGCATTAGACATTGGCTAATAGTCGCTCATCTTCCGCAGGAAGATGTTATGTATCCAGATTTGCACATAACACACATACCGAAAACGTCAGATCAATGCACTTGCATTTGCGCACCCCGGAACGCGCGCCCCGTGCATTGCAACGTGACCGATGCCAAACTCGTCATTTTAATTATAATTATGAGACACTTTTCGGCCCAACGTTCCTAACATCAGACGTAGACAAAATTCCTGTGGTTATGATGTTTTTTGTATAAGCAATTATAGACATAACGTACCTAACTTCGGACGTTCTCAAAATTATTTAGTTTAAGAAATACCTTTGTGGAAATTTAATATAGTTATTCATCATATTTTGTCGTCTTTACTTCATCTCCACTGCGGCCACCCTATATAACTTACATGACGCAGTTCAAGCGAAGCGAGATGGGATCAGAACGGTTTCTTTCAATCATTGCAATTGTCCTACAGAAATGCGATGGGATAATTAGGGATCCTACATCACGCAGTTCGCTGGATCCCCAATTATACCCTACTGTGAGATTTGTAACACAGGTCTAGTTACCTAGTACGAACTCCAGACTCTCGCTTAAGGTAGCTAACTTTAGTCATTATTAAGTCTTGTTTAACATATAATTATAATGTACAATCTTACTTATGTGAGAGTGAATAAATAAATAAATAATAAATAAACTGTGATGGTACAAGTGGCATTTCTAAACCCACAAGTGTTGTACGTGGAGTACCGCAGGGATCTGTGTTGGGTCCGATCCTCTTTGTCTTGTACGCAGCAGACTTGATAGAAACAATTAAGTACTGCTCCAATCATGTGTATGCAGATGACACGCAGTTATACCTCTCTTTTAAACCCAATGATGTCTGTTCTGCTGTGTCCAAGATAAATGAGGACATGAGGCGGCTAGCTGAGTGGTCTGGAAGACATAGTTTGCTGTTGAATGCGACTAAAACTGAATTCATGATTCTCGATTCGAAACATCAAGTTGCGAAAATATCAGTGGATGATCCCAAAATTATTGTAAACGGTGTCCGAGTGGAACGTGCGCAAGATTCTGTTTTGACATACCTAAGCGTGCCCATGTCACGCCATATATTACGGGTAGCCTTGAAATGTCTCCCCGCCGAGAGCAACACTTGGCTTGCCTCTTATTCGGTGTGGTTAAGACAGGTCAACCGGAGTACCTGCGTGCGGTGGCAGGGCGAGTCGCTCATCGATCTATCGTGGGAGACTCCTTCAGCGGCGCACGTGGTGTCTGGCTGGCGGGTGGCAGAAGAGGTGGTCACGCTATCTGACCACCACCACATCGTATTCGACGTGGTATTCCGCCGTCCTGCCAGTTCCCGTCGCCAACACGGCGGCCCACCGCGACGATGGTCCCTCAAGCGGCTCGACAGAGATCTGCTCGCGGCTGCAGCCATCGCCGCGTCTTGGTCGGAAGGTTCCGACGTTGAGATCTCGCTCGATCCGGAAAGGGAAGCGATGCGGCTCGGGGACATGATGACGTCCATTTGTGATGTCTCGATGCCCCGAGTTGCACGCACCGAGCAGCGGGCCCAGCACTGGTGGTCGGAGGAGTTAGCGCAGCTGACTGAGGTCTGTCTGCGCGCCCGACGCCAGTGGAAAAGGGCCCGTAGAAGGCGGCGAGCCACCGTCGACGAGAGAGAGGGAGCCTATGCGGAGTACCGGGACGCTGCGAGGGCGCTAAGCCTCGCAGTAAAAGATGCCAGGGCTCGATCCTGGGGCGAGCTCCTCGAGGGACTGCAGAGGGATCCATGGGGGCGGCCATACAAAATGGTTATGGGCAAGCTCCGACCATGGGTCCCTCCGTTGACGACAAGCCTCGACCCTGCGTTCGTGGAGAGGGTTGTGGTCACCCTCTTCCCTAGGGTCGAGAGCAGTCCTGCCCCGGGATCATCGGGACAAGTATCGGTGACGGAGGAGGACACTTGGTCTGACGATCTCGGCATAACAGACGAGGAGCTGGATCGAGCCGTGAGGCGTCTCGGTGCTCGGAACACTGCGCCTGGCCCGGATGGTGTCCCGGGCAGGGCGTGGGTGTTGGCTCTCCACGCCGGACTGGGGAACCACATGAGACGGCTGTTCACCAGCTGTCTCCGGAGCGGTGTGTTCCCGTCCGGCTGGAAGTCGGCGAGGATGGTCCTTATACAGAAGGAAGGTCAACCCGCAGACTCTCCCTCTGCATACCGACCCATATGCCTGCTGGACGAGGCCGGCAAGTTGTTTGAAAGAACACTTGCCGAGCGGCTCAGCGGGCATCTGTCGCGAGTAGGGCCTGACCTGTCGGAAGACCAGTACGGCTTCCGGCAGGCGCGGTCGACAGTGGACGCGATCCTTCACGTTCGTACACTGTCGACGCAGGTACTGTCCCAGGGCTGAGTGACGTTGGCGGTAAGCCTAGATATCGTCAACGCCTTCAACTCCTTGCCCTGGTGGACCGTTAAGGAAGCGCTCGGGTATCATCGAGTGCCTCCGTACCTGAAGCGAGTTGTCAGGTCCTACCTATGCGACAGGTACATTACGTACCCGGGTCGGGACGGCGCAAGCCATCGCAGAGAGGTCGTGTGTGGGGTTCCGCAGGGGTCTGTCCTTGGACCACTCCTTTGGAACCTAGCATACGATGCTGTCTTGAGGGTCGCACTCCCCCCGGGCGTGCATCTGGTGTGTTATGCCGATGACACCCTGGTGCTCGCCGGAGGGGAGGACTTCGAGAGGACCATCCGGCTCGCTGAGCTCGGCGTTTCTCGCGTCGTCGAAAAAATCAAGGAGCTGGGTTTGCGAGTAGTGCCTCAGAAAACTGAGGCGCTGTGGTTCCACAAACTCCCGCGAGGGAGGGAACCGCCCAGCTTCTCGATTC